GTGAGCTTTGATAGCGTCTTCTGTTGTGTGTCCGCTCGCTCAGTCAAGGTCGCTATGGACTTATAAGCGAAATCTAGGCTTTCTCTCAAATCAGAATTTTCTTTCTCCATTTTAGGCGCTGTTTTTCCTTGAGCTCTTCGCTTTCCTTTATTCCAGCTAAAGCGAGGTCCAGTTTACTGTTTATTTCTGCGAGCGTCGCCGCCATGTTGTTGGGCGGATTCGATTCTTCTGAATTTAAAGGTTCATCATCTGTCTGAGAGCCTCGCGTCGTTCTTCTTTTTTTGCGAGTTTCTTAACTTGTTTCCGCGTCGTTTCCCTCTTTATCTGGCATTGTGTCTAAACGTATAGAGCCGTCTTTCTACGCCATATTGATGTAGTGGTCACAGAGCTCAAAATTAACGTCCGCACACCTCGACAGCTCTTCCCCAAAAACCAGGGCTTATGCATTATAAATACATAAAGCCCTCCAAGTCAGGAGAAATCTTGTGACTCAGTGACAGACCCTTTGTTGGACGTATCGTTTCATATCGTGTTGTCTGCGTTCTTATTTTCTAAACCGTTTACTACTACGATACTTTTTCAATCAGGGTTAATCAATATTCAACATCTTTTTTCCCAAGGAAGATTGCGCGCGATTGCGCGCAATGTCTATAAACTATTCTTATCTGCTATCTAGTCATCCCATGCATATTGTTTTACTTTATAATTGCCCTCATAGCAACAGGCTATGAAAATATGTATTCTCTTTGTCTGAAAAAAAAAAAACGTTTTTAAACATCATTCCATGACAATTTAATTGAAAATACCTTGAAAGACAAAGTCTCCGTCCGCTCAACGTTGCAGAAATTTGAAAACGGCGCTTTCACTCTAAAGACGCATCAAATGTTTTCCGTCCACACTAAGCCAGAGAAATTAAACGCAACAATCACCAGAGTCATTTTGGATTTGTGTTTGAGGAAACCTCGAGCAGGGAAATCACATTTTTATCGTGATGTCATCGTTTTGCGGAAAGCTCCGTTTTCAAAATGTTCTCCGTCCTCACTAGAATGCCAAGCCGGCGTTTCAAATTCCTCCGCTTTGAAGAGCGTTTTCGAAAAGCTTTGTTTTCGTGACGGATTAGTGTGGACGGTTGACTTAACCGTAGAAATAAAGCTGCGTTTTCATATTAATTTCTCCAAAGTTGCATGGACGGATCAAAGTCTTGCGTACCTGTTGATGAATTCTTGCTCGGAAGATAAAGTGATATTATGTCCAAGGATGTAAGAAGAAGCGATCAGATCGCTCCATTGAACCATCTCTCCCAGCGGCAAGCCGGAGTAAGCTCTCTCCAACCAATGTTCGTGATAAGCAAACGCTCCCATGTAAAAAAGTATCTGTGACGATTAGTACAAACAAAATATCAGCCGAACGAGCAGAGCGAGACTTAAGAGTTAGCTAAAAATATCAAACAATAGGATTTAACACACAACTCGGGAAAAAATATTTGGTCTCATAATTTGACATTCCGAGTGGAAGTATCCTCATACAGTACTTTCACTTTGTATTTCAGCGTCACAGACTGCCCTGATAAGCACTTTTTATTAGCTCGAGTGACGTAAGCAGACCAAAGTAACTAACGCGCGTATTTGCTTTGTTCTTTGCATTTCACGCTAAGCAATTGGCATAAAAAACTCGCGTCACTTTGTCACCCAGTCAGAAGGAAAACCGAAACCAGTCTAATGCGCTCTTGTACGTTTACGATGCAAAATGATAGCAATTATTCCCATGAAACCTTGCGAAAATACAAAACAGTGGAAAACTCTGATCTCTGGGAAATCATTTGGTCTCTGATTAGCAAGCATTGTAAACTGAAGCTTTTATGTAGAGTTTACGTTACCTTTTTTAACTTACGTTTTTAACTCGACGATTCCTAAAAGCTGATTTTTCTGTTTCAAGTTGCTTTGCTGCTAGCTTCCAGTCTGGCCAAAGTCTTGTAATACGATCTCTCATCCACTGGTATTTGCTGTGGTTCATTTTTTTGAACAACTCGCTAAGGTCTTCTCTCACAATTGCCTGCGAAGATAAGATCGGAACACTTTCAGAAGCAACTTTAATTTTAATTAAAGTTGGATGGAAGCTTGCTTGTTCAACTTCACTTGTTTTCACTTTTTCGGTTTGTTACGTCAAAAAAGGAAAAGCAAAACAAAACAAAACAGACAGACAAACGAACCATAAAACTTAAACCTTAAAATCGTCAGAAACCCGGGTGAAGTAAATAGCCATCTTTGTGTTAGAGACGTCGCATGCCATTTTAGTTTTTGTATAATGAGAAAAAAATGGATTCGTTATGTCTGTGATAAGAGAGTCTCTCCAGAGATGTATCACAGTGTTGCTTCTTGGTTTCTGTTAAAACACTAGTTCGTATAGTGTGATCGTCCGGGCGAGGATAGTTCTGAACAGAACTGTTGATGGTGACCGACGTTTCGACAACCTGAGCGGAAGTCATCTTCAGAGTCAAGAAAATATTGTTATAAATCTGATCCGTTGAAAGCTTAGTCAGTTTCGCCATGATGGTATTGGCTAGAAGGTTCGTGTAAAGTTTGTCAGCAGTCATTGGTCGTTCCAATAAAGTTCGATCGGTCTGATAATTAAAGTGTCGATTTCGTCTACTAATGTCGGCGTTGTGGCGTTCAAGTTACTACTTTTGGATTTAGCTTAAGGTGGTATGGTACCCTAAAATATGGCGATGTTCATGAAAAATTCAATTTCTTGGAAATACAAGACTTAAGACCCTTGAGGACTTGTCAAAAAC